AGACAAAATATATTTACGTTTAAAATTTTACTATTTCATCAAAAAAAATTATCTGGGGGAGGAGGGGAGGGGGAAATAATTTCCTGATTGGCTCTGTCCAGGTAGGCAGGCTATTTTCCAAATGAAGAACTTAAAAATAAATCACTTTTTGGGGAAGTAATTAACTTCATGAAGTGTGACAGATAAACCATGATTCTGTAAGGATTTTAGTGTGTCATTTTTAAGAACCTTTCTTTATTGATAATGAGGCTTTCCTTGTCTAAATTGTATGTACCATTATTGTATAAATTTTTTTAGAACTTTGTACAGTAATACTAAGCTGTATTACCTTGCTTTAATAAGTTATCTTTTGTGCAGCTATTTTGGTGTCTGTCTTAAAATAGCCAAGATGTGACTGCTAAAAATTCCATTAACATATTAATGATTACTGAATGATCAGCTCATTATTTTTAATGAACACACTCTGAATTTAACCTATGACCATATGTGTTTTCTACACTTAAATCCATGCATTCTTAAAATATGTCCACCTATTTCTTACTGAAGAAGTAGGATGTTTCTAGTTGGAATACAGGCATGTTCACTTTCCTAGTCATTAACATAAAGAAGGGAATTAGTGGTCTTCCCAATTATCATTTTGAAAAATAACTTTTTAAAAAAATCCCTCTTCCCTCATAAGAACACTTGAAAATCTAAATACTTAATTAAGTATTTATTTAAAAGTTAGTAAACAAGGGGCTTCTGCGCAGTAACGTCACTTAAAAGATGTTCACTGGCGCTACTGTGCATTTATTTATTGCTTGCTAATACAAGTAATAAATGCGCAGTAGCGAGCGACTGTGTAGTAGTGTCTTGTGTAAACATGCCCAAGGAGAACTTTATAAAAACACTCTTTTAAAGGTTTTCAGCTTATGATAATGCTGAGAGCAGTTCTTCTGTTTACAAATCATTTTTTATACTTTTTCAGAAATCAGTCCTACAATGTTATAAAATTAATTTGCCCAGAGCAAAATTAATCCCTGCAGAGGACCTCAGCAGTCACCACTTATATGGGACAAACATGACACATGGCCCTTATTCATGTTCTTTAAATATGGTGAATTACAGCCACAAGTCATCCCTCTGATGACAAATATACTATTCGTCTTAGGGTTGCAGGTTTCAACCTTTAATTTGCAATGAATGAAAAAGAAATGAGAAATTCATTTTGGTGAGAGATGTTTTGAGGATAAAGCTTAGAGCAGAAGCTCATTAAAGTGAGTTTTGTTAATCCCATATTCACGTAGACTGCACATAGAAGACTCTCATAGAAAGGTACTCTGTACTTATTTCTCAGCATATATTGCATAGCAAATACTTTGTTACTTTTACTCAATATACTTGCATTCAAAATTTTGTAATATATTGGAAGTATTATAATAAATTATTAATATGGAAATGCATGTGCTAAGTGAACAAAGTATATATTGTTTGGCATTATTATTTTATTATTATTCATAATATTGCAGCATTACAGTCAAAGGCATCATCATACTAAGCCCTGTACAAATACAAAAACAGCCCAGCTCCAAAAGTGCTTGCAATCTCTTCATTCTCTTATCATATATGTTTCTTCATTTTTTTATCACATAATTTGCTTACTTTTCAAAATTCAGAATTTTCAGTTAATCAAATCATTTTGAATCTAATTGAAGCATATCTTCTGTTCCCAAAGTTTCCATGTGAAGTTTGCATCAACAACCTGAAAGAAATGAGGCCACAACTTCTGTGCAGAGTAGGGCTGTGCAAAGCTTTGGTTGCTGATTCGATTCAGTGGAGATTAGGCCTGATTCAGTGGCTGAATCTCCAAATCTGAATCAAATCAGGAGACCCTTTAATCTTTCCGAATTGAGTTGGAACCCTCTGAATCGATTCGACGGGAACGTGGGGGGATTCCCAGCGTGCTCAGCGGCGGACACGGAAGTGGACCATTAAGTCCACTTCTGGGCCACTGCCAAGCATGCCCTCCTCCCGCCCCCCCTCCCCTCCCCACACTCCTGTGGGACGCTCCATCCACCCCACCATCTCAGCATTCATGAGCCACACCTGGTACCTCAAGGTATGTAGAAAAAACATTTAAAGCTGTGTCTATGGCCGAATCCCTGATTGTCTGAATCAGCATTGAATCTTCAGATTCAGCCAAATCAAATCAGGACAGCGATCCGAATCAACAAATCGAATCACTGTCCCCTGAATCAGGCTGAATCTGAACCGAACAGGGCCTGCTTCACACACCCCTACTGCAGAGCACAGAGCAAATCCTTTGTTTTTTCTTTAATACAGAGACACAACCCATGGAGACTATGTTGCGGTATGCAGTGCTCTATTTTGATCAGCCTTGTCTGGCCACACTGAACACGCTAAAGTATTACATGCATGGAGCTGTAGTTTCAGGAGGTCACATCTCCAGTTTTAAAATATGAGGTCATCCGTAGGGCACACTGTTAAAACTCTGTGGACTATATTTGACCCATCCCTCTAGTACTTTATTCAAAAGGAAATCCAAATAACTGCTTCATGGCTCAGTATAATAATATTAAAGAAACAGAGTAAATATTATAGTCTGCAAGTCACAGTCAATGAGTCTTAGTAAATATCTCTTACAAATGGTAAGCACGGGAGATGCGGTCATGACTGCCTTGTAACAATGATGATGATAGCAGTAGATTGCATTGCCTGCTTGATTTAGTATATTTGACTTCTCTGTTTTCACACAATGACCTAAAAGAAATATTATACCCCAGAGTAACTTTGAAATTGTTTGTTTAAATTAACTTTCATTTGGATTTATGCTTAATGAAATCTTCAGAGATTCAGACAGCTCCTCTGTAATGAAATGTTGTATCTTTGAACCAATGAACAGGGTTGCCAAACTGTAAGGATTCCTCTCTAAACGAGTGGGCTTTTATAATGTTACACTTGGGTGGCACAACCAGAGTGCTAGATGATTAGTTTATGGTCTAGATCATTGTATTTTTATTACACTCATAAAAACTGTGTTTCTCCTCATTTTCGTAATGGCTTCAATGAGCTTCTATACCTTCTAAAGGCACATTAAATTGTTATGTGAGGAAAGTAGCGATTTAGTGAGGCTAGTTTTAAAGTAAGTTACTTTTTTTTTTTTAAATTCTTAGCTTAGTCTGATTTAGGGCTATAGAAATATGAAAGTATGTGGGACCAATTGAAATTTGTATTATTTTCCGTAAGTACACATAAACTACCAGTAAAATTGGCAAACTTAAGAGCAATGCAACCACTAATGAGAAATAGAGAGATAGAGACATTATATATGTATATGTATAGTTATATAAAATAAATTATAAACTATTACGTTAACCTATATTTATTATTGTGTAGTTCTGAGTACTGGTGGAGAAGAGTCTGATACCCTTCAAAGATCCTGTTCAGAGAAGGCCATTCTTTTTTGCAGGAAGGGAGGAGGAGGAGCAGGAGAGACAAAATATTTTTTCTCTTTAAAAAAATTGACATCAATTTCTTTCTCCCTGTTTCTTCTCCACTATCACACATAGCTCCAAACTATAGAAACCTTAAATATATTTCAACTAAGTACCATTAAGCTGTGACTCGAAAACTGTTTTAAGAATTTTAGTTGTTATACTGTATAAGGAAAAAAACCTTATGCAAAAAAAGAAATATTTTTGCACTCATAAAAGGTACCTTTAAAAAATGAGACTTTATACTATTAAGTATAAATGGAAAAGCTTTTCTATTCACTGTATGGTATGCCATTAAAAAAAATCTTTTAATTGAATGTATCATCATTGCGCAGTTTAGACAAAGGCCTTTTTTGTTTACAAAATTTACATTTCAATACAGTTGCTTATAAATATTTCTGTGAAATAAATGTAACCCTTCACAAAAAGAGCAGTTTTCTTTTCACTCAGTAATTTTATATGCTAATAAAAACACAGTGAAAGTTGTATGCAAATATAACATCAATGTACAGCACAATAATAATGGTTTTTAGTGACTATGCTGCTTGGTATTAATTCACAGGAGTGTTTTTGTTCAGCCATGAGCTGTGTTTGGAACACAGATATGCCAGACCATCTTTGCTCATTTTGTTGTTTGTGTGAAAACATCCAGAAACCCTTTAGTTGAGGATGTCTTAGAGTCTTATATTCTACAATGTGACTATTCTAAATTATTAAATAGTCACGCTGTTAGCTAAGATTCACTGTTCTCTTCTGTTCCCTCTCTGTGTATGTTTTGGGAGTGGATAGCCTGGAGTATGGATTGCACTGTTTCATTTTATATCCTGCATAAAATTTAAATTAAAAATGTACATGTCTGCAAAAGTCTTTTTTTTAGGCACTATGGTTTTGAAAAGAACATTTTTCCGTATGAAAGATTTCTTGATTAAAGGTTTTTGTTTTTGCTTTTCCTCTTAAGCTTGGTTGGATGCAACTTTTATGATTGTTTCATTAATATAGTAATTCAGCAGCTTTTGTACATGACAAACAGCAAGAAGAAACAAATCTGAGCATACAAGCACATTTCATTTTGCATTACCTTAGCAGGTCAATATATTGTTAATTATATGTCTCCATGCTGCTTTAGCATAAAACATCAAGTGCTAAACAGTTGTTGTTTTTGAAAGCATAATGCAGTTTTTTGTGGATCTGTAAGTTCTGAAAGAAAAGCAGCTGAGTGCAGTACTAGGAATGGGGAGTTTTGTTTGGGGGGGATTGTGTGCGTGTGTGTGTGTGTGTTCTTTAAAGCATTGGAAATTCTTTAATATTTCATGGAAGCATGTAAAATATGCTGCCATATATTCAGGGTTTTGAAAGCAGCTGCAGAGTAAAAGTGTCTAATGAAAATGAAATAAATTTCCTGTGAATGGAATAAATTTTGATTGTGTGTCTGAGTGCAGTAATTATACATGTCACGCAGTAATTAGGCAGTCACAGTGTGGCCATGGTGTCTGTCTTTGTCTGCAGATGGTCTGGGAGAACGGCTGTGTCGTTATTGTCATGCTGACACCCCTTACTGAAAATGGAGTCAAGCAGTGCTACCACTATTGGCCAGATGAAGGGTCAAATCTCTACCACATATATGAGGTACTTAAACAAAATATCTCACTGTAAACTTGACAGTAAGTGTGTGGATTGATTTCATACAAAGCAAAAGATTGTTTAATCAAATTGACCTGTTAAATTGCACTGAGGTATCCCATACAATGCCAATGTCCTTTGGTTTGTTTTAAGATCATGGTAAATTATGCATAGTTTTTATAAAAAATGTAGATGACATAAAGTCTCATAAATGATGGACCATACGTCTACATCAGTGCAATAAAGAATGGAAGGGTCTTTTTCCTTAAAAGTGACTGCCCTTAATGGTTAAATATGAAAATAATGTCACTTCATGTTTATAGGAAAATAGCATATTGCACCTTAGAGAATTATGTTTGGGTTTACAGACAAAAGCTTATGTATAAAAGTTGGTAATTATTACCACTCTGTTAAGCTGCCCTCTTATATGAAAGAAAAAAAATCCCTACTTTTTCCTTGATAGATCTAGCACAAGTATCCATTATTGTGCCTTGTTGCCATATACAGTGACTTTTGATTCTCAGTATTTTTTTTGGTCTTATATTTGATTACATTAAGCAAATAATACCATAATAGGCAAAACGTAAAGAATAAGTGATAAATGATGGTGAGGAACAATAGTTATTTGAATTCCCTTGTAAAAATATACATTTTCTAAAAATCATTCCAGCTTCATATTATGCTTTGTTTTCTGTTGAACAGAGTAAATTGACTGAAAGTTTTCATGTGAGCTAGATTCATGTTATGTATATATATTTTAAAACTACTCAAATTATATCCTGCCGTTTCCAGAAAAGCAGTGCACTGTGGGTGTCTCCCAGTGAATCATGATGGGATGCATTTAAAACCTGTTATCAGGCAGCATCTCTTCAACATGCAAAACCCATAACTTTTAAATTGGAGATTATTTTAAATTTCAACAAAATATATAACGATTAAAAATATTTCAGAAAAGCAAAATGGCTACAATAACTGCTAAATAACAAATCATGTATCTGGCTGGTGCCAAATTTATTAGTAATAACAAAAGCCTTATGTTGTTCCTTTCATTCAAAAGATATCGCTTTTGTGAAGTGCCACGATTACGGAGCTATTTTAAATATCATCTCTCAGCTTGAATCCACAATTGTTATATTCCCCTTTCAATGTGCTGTAGGTAAATCTGGTCTCTGAGCACATCTGGTGTGAGGATTTCCTTGTGAGGAGCTTCTACCTGAAAAACCTCCAAACCAATGAGACACGAACCGTGACGCAGTTCCATTTCCTGAGCTGGAACGACCAGAAGGCGCCTGCTTCCACAAGATCACTTCTAGATTTTCGCAGGTACAATACCTATGTAATGATCTATTGGAGGCAATGAAAATTTGCGGAAGTATTTCTATAAGCAATAATACTTTTAATTATCTACCCTCTGAAGGTTTTTTTTCTATTTTTACTGGAGAAATGTCCTCCTGTTTGTGATGCCATAACTATGTGTCTGTGTATAAATTTGGGCACCTGTTCTTTCGTACCCCAGTGATTTTCACTGCTGTCCCACAAGCTCTCTGTTTCCTGGCTCTAAAAACTCACTTGCTTCTCACCCAGGGAATGAATGCATCTATTTCCTCTGTATATTTTTCCTGTGTTATTGGTATTTCTCTGTTTTATAAGCATTTACCTGGGCCTGTAGCTTCAAGTCCTTTTGTGTGCCTCCCCTCTGACCCTCCCTGCCAGAATCTTACAAATAAATCACTGTGCAGTATGTGCATGCTAAAACCCCTTTGAGTTATAAGTCAGCAAAGACATTCCAGTGCAAAATGCATTCCTGTAAGGACCAAAGGGTCAGGTCCATAAGTTCATTTGGTTGAAGGAGGGTGGAAAAGTGGGGAAACAGGCGCAAATTTTGGCCAAGTAATGCCCTCTCAAGAATTTTGAAGAAGCAGATGCTGCTTTAAAATATAGGAGTTGTTAATGGTATTTTTATACTAATAATACATGGGCAAAAATGTTAACCTCTGCTCTCTTTCTACTAAAGTACCAGGTTTTTCTAATATTTAATGTTTCTCTAAACTTTAATTTGAAAATTAAAGCCATGAATGATAAACGTCACAGTGAAATAATCTTCTGACTGCAAACCATGCTTAATGCATTCTGTGTAGATGTTAACTTGTACCAGATACTTCACAGACATACAGTCAAAGCTAAATGAAAAGAATCTCAGAAAGTTGGGAAGTTGGTTGAGAATCCCGGAAGGTGCTTACGTACGTGTCAGTGCATCTTTTTCTCTTTACTGTAATCCTAATGTGCCAACTGCTGAAATAATGTTAAAGGTTTCAGCAAAATGTACAAACAAAAAAATGTAGGGCCAAATTTTGCCCTCCAATAAATGAAGCTAGTGGAAGTGGTGTTTGTGCATCTGAAGAGTGATACTGATCCCATCTTCAACTGAAGTTGGTGGAAATTAGCACACTTGGCTGTTGGGGAAAAAAATTACTCCTAGATTTAAGGGTAAAACACCATTCTCTATCGCACTGCTCCTACATTTTTATTTGGGGTCTTTAAATAATGTTTAGTCTCATTTATTGTGGGTTTTGATTGGGTTAGAGTAGCAGGATTCTGTATGTACAACACAATGGAGAAAGGAGCACTTACCTAAAGGTGGATTTGGATCCATAGTTTATTTTTTTAGTGATTTTTGCCTTGGATTCAAGTCCAAACTCTTAGTATCACTTTAATGTTGTTTTTATCGTTCAAAGTCTCTTTCTTATGGTACTGTGGAGCTTGGCAGCAGTGAATTCCCAAAGCGGAAGTCCTGAATTGGCTCCAAGCTTTGCATTGTGCAAATTGCAATGCTGAATTTCAACTTTACTTTTTTATTATGAATAGAAATCACTTCTGTCACTCTGTAAAAGTCCACGGTACTGATCAAGTCCAAGGATCTGACTTGGCCTTGAAGTCCTTTTGGTTGCAGTGTAAGCAGGACTGGGCCCAGAAGGCTAGCGCTTCTGAAGTGCCGTGTGCCCTCGATTCCTACTTACTGAAGTAGGAGTTGAGTTCATCTGAAAATTGTAGGATCAAGCCTACAGTGTGGCAGAGGCTGCATCTCAAAAACTGTGCAGTCTTTTACTGAAGGTCTGCAGGGAATAAATAATCACAGTATTTAAATACAAAATTAAAAGTGGAAGGGAAAGCAGTTAAGGTGGCATACTTCCTATTTGAGGCGGATAGGATGAACCTGGTAAAATATAATTGAATTTTGAGTGTTTGTTTATTATGCATATTCTTAGTGTAGTGTAGGGCACTGTAACCAGTAACTACATCCTTGAGTGTAGATTTTGTATTTTGAACCCATAATATTGAATGCATAGTAAAATTCCATTGAAAAGGAATCTGCATGCACAATAGATGCTTTTATGAATCTCAGTTTCTTGGCCAAGCTGGTTCTTTTAATGACAAAAAGTCATTAAAAAAGCTATTGCTAAAATAATTCATTTTACAGTGATTTAATTGAATAAATTGTGCTTCGAAAGCTCCCTACTTAAAGTTTCACCTCTGGTAAATTATCGCAATTGATAAATCCTCAAAAACTGTCCAATACATTATATACATACCCCTTGCTTAAGGTGGTACTAGCAAGTGCTACTCTCATTCACTTTAATATCAATTTTTTTATGCATTCAATGTATTTATACATATATATGGGCATGTGTGCATATTTATATATTCACATACATATATGAAGTTAAACATATACATAACCAACCCTCTATTTTTTATAATTCATCACCAAGAAAAATTGGATTCCCAAAATTACCTTGCCCAGAGTCGGTGGAAATGTGGACCCTATTTTTTTTTTATTGAAGTAAATTTTGCAAGCCTCTTTGAAAACTGAAAGCTTACCTTTCTTTCTTTCTTTCTTTCTTTCTTTCTTTCTTTCTTTCTTTCTTTCTTATGTATCGGACAGTGTTTTAGATGATGTTGCATTTAGCATACGAATCAAACCTAGAGGGGGAGGAGCAGGGGGAAAGCCCCAACTGTGCTTTAAGAACATAGTGCTTTTAGGTCTAAATGACCAAAAGGAGATTATTTTGTATTTTTTAAAATTCCATACAACATACAGTGCTTGAAAGGTGAGACTGCTGCAGAAAACCACTGGTCAGTTTTAAATGCTTCTGGAGTCCTAAATTCATTGTGAACAATAGACCAATCATTACCGCTCTGGACTAGCTTGTTAGTCATGCACTGATGTGTAATTAAATATTTCTTGAGCCCAGAGGGAGCACATTTACACTTTAAAGAGAGACTGCTAAGCTAAAAGATAATTAGCATCACATGTGAGGGCTTTGCTTAAAAAAAATAAATATATATATATATTATGCTATCACTTCTTGCTGTGTGCAATGGCATTTACTAACACTGCTCACTTTAAAAATGGACAAATTCTTATTTTGCCAGCTAATTAGCGGTTGCCAGTGTCATTTTTGTGATGTTGCAGCTAGTAATATGAGCCCAGTTGCATAGTCACAAAAGTGATCATTGGAAACTGTGACTCTGCTGCAGGGACAATGTGGGAAACCCCTTTTCTGAGCCTCTAACGACCTCTGACCTTTGCTTGCTGATGGTTTGCATGATGATTTCTTTTTCACTCAATGAGCCAAGGGTTGGTTTGTATTACTAATCATTCTCTCTAAGTTAATTCTTCCTGTATATTGATATATTTTTTTTCTTAAACATTCAAGACCTTTGCTTACTGATGAATTTTCAATTTGCTCTATTTAGAAAGAACCTAGAGTGCAATGGGATATTGTTGCATTTCTTAAATCTCTTTTCAGACTAAGCTATGAATCAGCTGGATCAAAAGCTTTATTTTAATATGTTTTCTGAAATGTGTGATGATAAAAGTGTTTGAAACTCAGTCAGTAAAAATGACAAACATAAGGTGTCTTTCCCCAACATGTGTCTCTGGCTGTTTGATTTATAAATAGGGTTAGTGTGGTTTTATTTGTTATTGAAAATATACCAAAATTTTCCTAGCTGGCTAGTCAAAACAAGCTCAGTATCCTATTAGAAGTGCCATTCAATGAACAATGGAGCCATACAAGTGCAAGAAATGATAAATACTTCTGTCTGCTTATGAGCTTTTTATGACACTTTAAATGCCAAAACTCCTTTCTAACGGTGTGTATGTGATGGAGGGCAGAGAATGGCCATCAGCATATCGGGGAATGTGCTGATATTGTGTCATATTGTGTAACAGACATTTGAAATTTAGTTTACAAATATATATACAATTCCAGTTTAATGCTGTATTGAAGGAGTTGATTCCAAAATATGAACAGTCCTCTGCAGGTTCGTAAGGCTCCTGTATACGTTAGTAAGGTAGTGACATTGACACCAATAATTAACAGATTCATCCATACAGAATAATCTAACCCTTCAGTTAAAAGCCATTTAAAACTTGGAGCTGGAGGGAAGAGGAAAGGTGTAAGTTTTGCTTGGTAATAAATTACCTTGTTTTCAGTACCTGATAAATTACCGTTGTGTGTGTTTTAGCTTCCAGTGTCAGTTGCTGTTCAGTGGTTGAGCAGTGCACCTATTTCAGAGAAAATAAACCACTCTACCCTATTCACTGCTAATACTGCAAATTTATGGATAAATGGGGAAAGCACCTCTCTGAGGAACTATATATGGTTTACAGAAACCAGCCAAAGGCTGAGAATGGAGAAATCCTGAATTGTGACCTCAGTTCTATTATTTACTTGCTCTGAAGCCTTGAGGAACTAAATTTACTAAAGATCTCTACCTCAGTTTCCACATCATTAAAATGGGTGTTAGTTACTTTCCTCACCAATGCATTGTAAAGATTTGTGAATGTTTATATTTTATATGTGACCCTATCGTTATTATAGATATTTACTAAATCTGGTCAGATTCTTAATGACCAGAAGCTGATTGTAAAAAACATTATCTTTTGGAACATGACTATCACCTTGGTAACATGTCTGAGTCAAGTTACTGGCATTTGAAAAGGCTGTCTTTCAGATATACATCTTTAAGTATCTTCAGGCTACACTCTAAGCAGTATTTAAAGATATATGCATATTTGCACAGCACAGATGTTACAGAATAGATGAACAGCCAAGAACTAAATGATTCAGTAGATTAGTGATGCTTTAAAATTACTAATACCATAATGCATAGTTGCCAGATTCCAGCAGCACATTTTATCACATTTCTCAGCAGTTAACGTTCTGAAATATTTGCTCTTACAATTATCAGCTTGGTGCATCTAGACCTTAGACCTCCTCTGGCAGCTGTCCTATGACATGGTTTTATCGTATACCTTCTAGTAAATTAAAACACCTAATCAAGGAAAGTGAGGGGATTTGATTTCTTAGAAAGGACACTTTCTCATTTTATCCTTTGTTCAGTTTTCTTTGTTAACACACCCACTTTGACATTTTTCTATGAGGAAAACATTTCACAATTAAAATGCAGCTCTACAGCAGTAACACTGAAATGAATGTAACCAGACTTAATTCTTCTGTGGGCTGTATTCAGCATCTTACAAGAGTATCTTGGTTTGCTTCAGTTTTGCTTAATTTCCTCATTAATTCAAGCATAGGTATTAACCCCATTAGAAAATTACTGTATACCAGGTCAGTTTTGCACTATTGTTTTTATTGTTCAGCTGTAGATATATTTTCAAATAATGTAGATTGGTTAGAAATCTGGAAAGTAGAGCTATTTATAAATATTAAGTATGTAAAACGTTTATATTGGAACTATGGCTGTATAGCTTCCTAGAATTGTAGTCTGTACATGAGTAATTAAATGTTAAGTTTGAGAGAAGATTTTCAGAGTGTTTGCTCACTGCTGTTCTGGAGATAATCTGTTTTCCATACAAGCTCACATTATGCTGCTGACTGTATATCCTCTTTTAATTATGGCTTCCAAATAATGCACTTAATTATTTCTGGGACCAAGCTCATGAACTCAAAGCTCACACTGAAAATCAAAGCATCTCATGATAAACATTGATGGGGGCTGACAAGCAAATAATTTGGGAATAGAATGTATATATTTATGTATTTAGCTAACCCACATTTATGAGTATTATGGAAAGATGCATTTCATTTTATTTGCTGCACTGGGAAACTAAACAGAGCTGTGTATATAACTTAGCTATTTGTTATATTGAGGTTGATTAGCTGATATTATTACTTAAAGGGTGGTGATGAATATTTGTTTTTCTTTATTGCTTTTGCTTCTGACAGTTGGCTAAGGAAACAGTGCAAAATATATTTATTAATTTTTGTGTCTGTTTTATTGCAGAAAAGTAAACAAGTGCTACAGGGGTCGTTCTTGTCCTGTAATTGTTCACTGCAGGCAAGTACAATTTTAAAAATAGCTGTAGAGAGGGTTTTGTGCTGTAAGAAATTAACATGAATAGAACCAAATGGGCAAATTACAGGTTTAGATGAATCACTAAATACATAAGATGGTTCCTTCTGAACCAGGTCCAAGATATTACATTTTGTTTAATTTTTTTTTTATGCTAGTAAATGTTGAAGGTCCAATTTTGTAACAAAATTGTCCTTTTAATATGATCTTACAGGTGCAATTTTACAAGTTAAATTTGATTCATATGCCTAAAATTCACTAACAGCCCTTTGATTTTAGAAAGCTGCTCTAACATTACAGCATAGTGATGCATTCCCAATTTAGACAACTGTTTTGCATTTTTATTAATGTTTCAACAGTGTTTTTTATTTCTTCTTTGTTTGTTTTCAATGATCGTGATGGTAGCAAGGCAGTCTTGGGGAATGGGAGGGGAAAGATGCCCACTGGTTGGGTGAGTAAGCACAAACCTTCAAGCACAGATTGCTTTTAGGCCTGCCCGTCTCGTGAACGTAAATGAGAGCTGTTTGATGGCTCACTATAAAACTTGAAGTAATAATGTAAATATTTAGTTTTGTAGCTGTAGTGTCTATTCTGTAAGGAGAATGCCCATTCCTTTTTATCAAAGATGGGAAAAATTATAAGTGTGGGAGGAAAAACTATGGGCATCTATACACATGTTCTTGGGTTGGGGGAGGAGAGGGGTGCTTTAATTAAAGCGCCTGCAGCGTCACGTATATTCAGCATCACGTGTTTCAAAATGGCAGCAGAGGCACTTTAACTAAAGCTCATTCAACAAGCTTTAGTTAAAGCGCCCCGCCCCCATTTTGAAATGTGGAGACAATGAATACATGTGACACGTAGGCTGCTGGAGTGTGCCAGTTAGCATGCTCCAGCAAACTTGCATCAATTGAGTCTGCTCCAATGCATGCTAATAAGCACATGTTGGAGGAGAGCTCCATCACATGTGTAAGTGCCCTATGTCATTTAAAATGCACACCTTCAGTTTAGTGAGTGGTTCCAGTAAGGGAGAGGAGCATGTCACAAGCCTGCTGAGCTCTGTGCAGAGGGACAGAGTCATATAACACAGAGTGGTGAAGTACTTGAAGAAAATACACAATATGGAGCAAGCCTGTTTTTGTTTCATTGAGGAGGTCTGAAAAAAGAAAAAGAGATGATGCAGAATAAACTGAACAGTCCTTTGAGTTTGTTGCAGGTATTTTCTTAGTATGATGGATGAAAATGTCTAACATCTAGCTCAGTAGTTTTTGTTTTATTAGGTCTGACCACTACAATGCCACGCCCTATTTGGATTAACTAAAAGGGCCCTGTTTCCTCGTTCCCTTCAGCTGCCTCTCTAGGAAATGATACAGAACAAACTGCTCCCATCTATGGAGGTTTATCAAAAATGCAGTTTCATAGCCTGCCTATGAAAGCCCATCACACCATTGTGTCGGTGCCCCCTTCTTATTAATGCTGAACACAAAGTTAGTTATCACTAAAAATAATAGGTCAGTTAATAAAAATAGATGACTAATTGGTCACACAGGCACCTTCTTAGAATTTGGAGGAAGGAAATGAAAACAAGTATACTACTTAAAGTCTTAATTATGTTTGCTAACAGCAGCTATAAAACATCACACTGCCCATTGCAAGCTACTCCATACCAGGCCTGCAAGATGCATTCAGATTAGGGAACCTTCCCAAAGGTTAACAAGGCTTGGTCCTTCACAAGGCTTGATCACACTTTTCCAAGGAAGGCCTGATAATACCCTGGGATTAGAGAGAGCTTTCAGGAAATACATGGTAAGATGTTTCCCCACTCGTTGCATCTGAGGTAGAATTAAAGCAAGGGAAAAGAGACGGGGGAAGGTGAGTTGAGATGCATCTTTTCAGGTCCAGATGTTTGGCATCCCATTTCTGGGTTGATAACTTATGATCCATAAGTAATGCAATATTTTAAGTTCTTGGATTGGGGATCGAGGGGTGTGGAGTATGACTTGAAGGGAAATAGGCTGCTCTGTGTGCATGCAGTCTGACCTCTAGGCTCAAGTGCAAATAGAGCCAATAGTTTTTCAGGATGATTCTAGCCACGGAGTTCTTCAGCTCTCATGTGACTCTCTGTTGTGCTTGATCTCAGAGACGACAGTCTGTAAGCTCATTATGTGTATACTCTATGCACAGAAATGGCTGCCCGTTCTTGAATTACTGACTTTTTCACCATTGTGTAAAATGTTTGTATATTAAATAAACAAGTCTTTGGCTTTAAACAAAACAAAACCCTGCTATCCATGAAGAACAATAGTTAATCCTACACAAACAGCATGTGTTAATTAAAATCACTGCAAGCTTTCTTTCCCTTTCCCTCCACCCTCAGCCTCCTTTCCCTCCCCATCTACCCTCCCTTCCTGGTATAACGCAATATAAAAGTAATGGTGAATACCTTTGTACTGAATCTAGATACACATTGATAGTGTTTTTTTCTCTCTCCCTTTCTGTTGCCAGTGATGGTGCAGGAAGAAGTGGAACCTACATTCTAATTGACATGGTTCTCAATAAAATGGCCAAAGGTGAGAATCAAAAGGCTTGTTTTTTTTTTTTCCTCGGCATTGAAAGATGTGTTGGTGTTGCCATGGTAACGCAGGGTGTAATATTCACAGAAAGCGGTAGAATAAATTAGAGGCAAATTGTACTCTTTCCTGGACATCCCTAAGTTTGATTTTCAAGCTCATGCTGATTTAAAAAAAAAAGGCTTTATGAATGAAGTGTACACATGTGCTTCTGGACAAGGCAGGATTTGTATTTTTAACTCTGTAACCTAAAATAGTGACTGTGGCTAAGACGTGGCTCTGAACTATCTAGTAGATAGTAAATTAGCGTTTGCCTAAATAAATAAATGGGCCTCTTCCAGTGTGTTGCACACTTATATTCATCTACCCAGCAGCAGAGTTTAAACACATTTACCCACCTTTTGTTGCTGCTGTAGCAGAGACAGGATCATGGAGGAAAAGCCCCTTGTAGTAAGTGGGTGTTCAAGCACATACCTTTCAAGGAAGCATAACCTTTCGTGGGGCAGAGCCTGGTTACTCTGGATTGTATTCCAAGCTCTGCTACTGGGTGTTTGGTCGACCTTGGACAAATGACTTAATGTCTCTCTTTTCCTACTCATGAAGTACACCTTTTAAAACCTTTTAGCTGTACACTTGAAGTCATAACTACTCTGCATTATTTTTATATGTTATTCCTAGTTAAAAATATGTGGATTCCCCTTGGGTAAAGTGTACTCTCCCTTCTTATTCTACCAGTTAACATTTGTTGTAAGAACTGTTTGGAATAGTTTGAGATTGTCTTTGTATCTTAACAGCAAACAGTAAAACACAGTAAATAACCTGTACTACCAAAAGAGTATTTGTGGCAGTTTTGGAAGCACTCAGCATTGGCCATTTCTAGTTCAGTCAGGGGGTTGCTAAGTACTTTTGAAATGCCCTCCCTGTATGATAGGACCCCTCTTAATCCAGGTAATCAGTACTGTATTTCTGTGTTGTATTCCCCCCCCTCCACTTCTTCTGCCCATCCTGTATTTCTGTTTTTATGCCTTCATTGTGTAAAGTTTGGAGAATAGTCCTATTCATATGGCACCTGTTACTACTGGAAAAAATTAAAAAATAGTCTCTTGTCGTTTCATTGCCATCTTTCTCCATTCCCTTTTATGCTGCTACTGCCCTTTCTTTGAATGCACTTGCATTTAAAAATAATAGTTAATAGTGATAATGCAAAATATATTGCATATAGAAATAATATTTAATCCTGTCTTCCAAGCACTGTATATAAAAAAAAAAATTTTCTTCATTATCTTCCTATACAACATGATCCATGCCTTGTGGTCAGTTGCTGCTGAAACCCTGAGTCCCAGGTCTCTGCAGAAATAATGATATTCCGTTCCTATAGGTAGATAAAGGAATTTGGCATTTCTTCTCTCCTGGCTCTGTTTCGTCAGACATAAAGGGGTATGTAGATCTGAGTATTGATGTAAAAAGAAGTGTGCTTCCCTTCTGCCATGCACCAGACTGAAACTTTTCTCCAGGAGAATGAGATTGTTTTTTCACCCTCATTGGAAAGTGCATTTGCATTTTGTGAAAGAAAACGCAGAAATTTCAAACACTTGACACATTTATCATTCAAGTGGCAACTTGATCTCTGAAAGTAAAAGCAGGGGTACATGGTAAAATTGGTGTACACCTCTGTTAAATATTTGTTAGGCTTATTTCAGTTTTCAGCTCTGAAAGGCTGTAATGAAAAGTAGATTTAGAATATATGCAATTTTCTTGCATAAAGAAGTAAATGAGAAGTATTTTCTAGCTTCAGGCTTTCAACCACTTAAGGAAGGGTTGACTTTGTTGTAAGAGCACTAAAGAATGCCATTTATTGACTCCATTGTACCATGTAATGTCAAATTCCATTTTAAGTGTGGGCTTAGGGTTGCACAATACAAGACAAGTCATGTGAAACTGGCCAAAGAAAGGCGTTGCTGGGCTTTTTTAGATTGGTCACCCCCATTTTGTTCTTGACCTGCTCCCCTCTGCCATTGGGGGTGTGCAATTTGAAATCCTCTGACCTGGTGCTTTGGCTGTAGCTTAAATGAAAGATCAAAGGGCAAAGCGGGCATCTCAACCCTGCTGAGGTGGGCCTTTCCCAGGCTGTCACACTGTGAGGCAGCCAAAGGTTTTGTTCTGATGGGAATCGAGGCCCAGTCTGTGAGGCCTGGGCCTTCTTTGTCTGGCCTGAGAAGTTTGAGGCCCAGGTTGAGGATCCAATGTTCATCGAATGATCAAAGGGCTGAAGCCCTGGACATGAAATCTTTCTTTCCATTTCCTTTTCTTAAAGAATGAATTGCACGAGTACCAAAGAATGCCATTTCCAAAGCTTTTATGTGGAGTGCTAGGACTAACTTTAGAGTCCTTCAGTTCTAAACATAAAAATGTAAGTGCACTTTCAATCTGGGCCCAGCTGCAAGGCCAGCATCTACTAACATTTCTTTCAAAAAGGCTTTTAAGGATTAAGGCCTTCAGTCTTTCAAAAAAAAAAAAAAACTTAAGAATAAACTTAGAATAATTTGAGTTCTTGTTCCACTGTCTGGTTTATTAGAAAGTAGACAATAATGCATTTTTAAATCAAAGTAAACAGAGGACTACTTAGTCTCAGCAGTGGGAAAGTGGAAAACGATCAATAAAATGTGTTGGTTCTTTAGGAGGTATCCTAATAGGGGAGACTGAAAAAGGGAACTGCTTTTTCCTGTAATGATTTATTTTTCTACATTCTCTTACCGAGTTAACTGGAAATACTTCAATCAGCTAACAGTTGTCTCCTAATTCTTTTTATTGGAAATCAGGCCTAAGACCTATTCTTTATACACATATATATTATAAATTCATATTTTTAACTATTATAGCCTGACCTATTTTATTTGATATTCTTAAAATGGATAAACAGGTGAGAATTCAGTTGTTCGAGCCTGCCTTTTCCAGAAGAAACAATTTGGCAAGAAATTTGCATTCCCTGAATAAATTATACAAAGTTAGCATTTAGCTAGATAAGTCAATCTAGCCCATCTCGCATCTAAAAATTCTCAACTGTATTCTATCGTGTTTCAGTTCTGGTCACAGGCTTAATATTTATCATAGCAAAAGTTGCAAAAGTATTAAAGTTGATACTGATTTTATAGCAAAATATTTTGGTCATACATCTTAAGGTTTCCCTCCTGCATTTTGTGTTTGAGTGGAAGAGAGGCCATATGAAAAGACTTCATGATGCAGTTAGAAGCACAATGCTGAATAAACGTTTTCCAGTCCCTCACTTGCCATTGTTATTCAAACAACTTCAGAATGCATTTTGGAGTCCCTTTGGCTTTGTGCATCATCAAGGATTTCCTGTTGGGTTGGGCTCTTAATGAATTACTATATCCTCTTTTAAAAACTATAGTGTCTGTATCTGTGTAATGTAAGAGGCATTAACTATGTTAAATAATCTAATGATATAAATTTGGATGAGTTAAGATAGATGATGAAGGTATATCTGTTCCACACCAGATTTTCAACACAAGTGATTTCTTCCTCGTGGTTTTATGCTCTACAGTTACAAACCAATTGCAGCTAAATGCGTGAGTGAATCCTGTACCATGGAGTCAGTGAAAAGGTTAAATTTAGAGTGTACTTTTATATTTAATTGCTTCAGCAACGTTAGGGCTGTTATTTGCCAGTTCACTGCTATAATTGTTTATTAAAATATATTCCTTATGCAAAGCAGTGTCATAACAAAGGCCAGATCCTGCATCCATTGAAGCAGAGAGTAAAATTCTCATGATATAAGACCTGTGCTTAAAGAAAGCTATAAGGCTTGTCACTTCTAAATAAGGACATTCCATTTCCGTGAAGGCTGGATTTTTAAGGGTATTACAGAAGGCATGGAATAATTTTAATATTTTCATATTTCCCTGATGCATAGTTCAGTGCAAACTTTGGTCTTGAGTGAAAAGATTAGAGGTCCCTTTTGAAACCTTAGTGCGCTTTCAGTGTTTGAAAAAGAGTAGAAAATGATGTCTTTTTTTTTTTTTTTTTTTTGCAAATTAGCAATTGCTTGTTACAATTTTTTTTTAACTAAGAATGCATTTTGGAAGCCATCACCTTGCATGAATGTTAACATTCCTCATTCATATACTGACACTAACAAGCTGAGTGAGAATTTGTTGAGTTCTTTCCACAGGGCTGGGTACCAGTAATTTATTTAGATAAAGTAGTTTGCTAAGGTATTCCTGTTTCTTGTGGTTAGCACCAGCCCTTACTTCTGAAATACAGTAAACTATTACTGGACCATTTCTGGCACAGCAAAAAGAAGCAAGTAAAAAGATTCTGTTATGAAACTTTGCATTTTGCTTTCTAGAACTGGATGGTAGGGATGGCATGGATAATTATTTGAACTGTATAGAGCAGAGATGCTCAACCCCCAACCCGCAAGCCAGTTCCAGCCCACAGGGCTCCAGAGGTCTGGAAATTTGCTGATGGGGGAGCAGTAGCACTGTTCCCCTACTGCCAAATTCCCAGACCCCCCCTCAGGCTATGTGCACTGGATCAGGTGCCCAATATAAATGGGCAGAGGTGGTGCCAGGCCCCCAGAACCCAATTCCAGTGCTGCCCCTGGGACCCAATCCTGAGCCACAGGGGCAGGAGGGAGCAGCGCTGACCTCCTGGGGCCCAGTCTGGGCATGCAGGGTGGGGAGGGGGCAGGGCCAAGTCCTGGCATGCAAGGCTGGATCTGGCCCATGGACTGGCCCTGTGCCACTTATCTGGCCCAGAAGGGCCAAACATTTGAGCACGCCTGGTACAGAGATCTAACAAAGCAGCCAGGCAGCAAGGTGGTGGAATGCATGGGGGCAGCAGCAGCAGCTTCCAGATACTGCTGTGTTACTGGCACAGCTGCATGGCTGCAGTAGCAGCTGATAGTCTTTCCCCCACAAAGTTGGCACCTAAGGTTGCTGTCCCAGCTTTCCCACCCTAGTTATACTGTTGGGAACTGT